AGTGGGCATTTCCTTCTCCAGGCCTCAGTTTCTCCACACACGGTGGAACTGGCCGTACCTGCCATTCAGTTTCTTCAATACAGTGAACGGAAGGGTGTCCGGCATTCGGTAGATACTTAAATAGATGCAAACTGCTCCTATGACCAAGGAACACAGAACGCGGACAAAAGGCCACATCGTGACCTGAGTGACAATGTGGGCTCAGGGAACCCCCTTGTACCTTGAGATTCCAGTTTTCCCACTCTCTAGAGAGGTTGCCCGACTCCAAAGCACCCGTGGTCCAGACTTGTCTGTCTGTCTCTAAAGTCATGTTAGCTCTGCCTAAGGCTAGGGTCATGCGGATTGGCCTCCAGCCGTGGGGAAATGAGTAGTTGCTTAGGAGCAGCCAGAAACTCTGTCCACTCATAGAAGCTTTGATGGAGATGCAAGCAAGCAGCTAGGGACCGAAGCATCTTAGAGAGTTTTGTAGAAAGTTCACTCCTGACTCTTATCAGAGGCTGGGAGTCATCTGTTCGTTGCCATGACTACGGGCAGCAGCTCATCAGTGCCAGGTCTCTGAGCAGCAGAAATGCAGGAAGGAGGAAGGCTTCAAGGAACCCGACACCCATGGCTTCCCCTCTCCCCGTGTGAAGTGGGGTGTGCCGGCCCTCGACTCCCTGTCTCAGCTGTCCCCTGAAGATATTGTCTCCTTATATTTTTTTTTTCACTCAACATTGAATAGCTCTGTGGGTAAAGATGAGGCAGCTGTGGACATGTTTCAGCAGAAACGGGCCCTGAAAGATGCAGGACTGGAAACAGGGAAGATGTTTGGGTGGGGCTGAGGCTTATGTCCGGTTCCACTGAAGGTCTGTGGTGCTTCATAGCCTTGTCTTCCTGTCACCGCGGCAACTTGATTGGTAAGAGGGTGCAGAGCCCGAGCCACCATATAGCATCAGTTGCCAGAATCCATCTGTTCATCCATGCATCCCTTCATCGGCAAAAGGAGGCACCGGCAGAGGCAGACACTCTTTGATTACTTGATGGTAAAGAACTCATATCCTGGCTCAGAAGATTATCAGTTAAAGGAAATGAAAGAATTATCAGTGAAGAAAAACAAACTTGGCAAGCCCCTGTGGTTCCCACCAGGAACAGAGTAAAAGAGGGGACAGAGTCTGATGCAGAAGGCAGGGACAGCTCCTTGCAAAGGTCACCCTTGAGAGAGAACAGGAGAAGGCCTGCAAGCTGCCGCAGCAACCACATGCCAGGTTGGGAGACAGCAAGTGCAAAGGCCCTGAGGCAGGAAAGCGTTGACCCATTTGAGGAACAGTAAACAGACCATACGGCTAGAACGATGGGAAGACAGGGAGAGACACAGGAGGTGCACCCGAGGCCAGATCACACGGGGTCTCTGGAGTTTGTCCTTGATCTGACAAATAGCTATCTGAACTGTTTCTTTAGCGTATAGTTTCCGGGCTCTACCCATTGAGACTCCCAGTCACTGCATCTACGATGGGTCCTAGGATCTCATTCAGAAACCTTATATGGTGAGGTCCATTCAGAACCTTCGATACTGTGCCAAGATCGGGTAATACGGGGCTTTACGCTTGCGCTCTCTCTTCCAGTTCTAAGAAAGCTGAGCAGAACTGACTCGGTTACTCCAGTGCTTGCTGTACAAGCATCAGGACCTGAGTTTGATCCCCAGCACCCATGTAAGGAGCTGGGTGTGTTGACACACACACTTGAAACCCCAGTTGTGGAAGGTTGGAGACAGGAAGATGCCCAGAACTCCCCGGACATAGAACCTAGACCTCAGCAAGCCCCAAATCCCAGTGAGAGGCCCCATCTCAGCATGGGACCTGAAGTTGACCTCTGACTTCCCCATGCATTCATGTGTATGCATGTGTGTGTGTACACGTAGACAGGTGGAGAGAGGGAGGCAGGGAGAAGCTGAGACTCTTTCTCTCTCTCTCTCTCTCTCTCTCTCTCTCTCTCTCTCTCACACACACACACACACACACACACACACACACATGCACGTTAGGATGTCTGAAGTAAGGTCTTGAGTGTTCTACAATGGAGAACCCTGTCCTTCCCTTCAGCACTTCCTGTAGAATTTATGAGAGTTCTGTTTGCTTTACTGCAGATTTCCCAGTGGGGTGTCCCAGTCCAGAAAGCTGAAACTTGTGCTGTTGGAGAAAAGAGCGAGCTAGCACATCCTCCACTGCACAACTGCAGAAATCTCACTGAGGAGACCTCATCTCTGATCTCGTCTCTTGCCATTCTTGCGTGTGCTGAGGTCTTTGAATTTGAGTCCTCTGCTGGCATGTACCTCCCCCTTTCTGCAGATACCTGTGCAGACAGGATGCACTATTGTGCAAACAAACAGAAAAATCACTCCCAGTCCTTGTAGCTAAAAACAACCCCAGCAAGCAGCTGCGTTCCATGGTTTCTGTGAGCTGAGAGTGCAGCTGTGTGGTTCTGGCTCAGCACATCCCATGAGGTTGTTCTGGTCTAGGAGGCTCACATCCATGTGCTTGCTCGCATGGCCGGAGGCCTCTCCATGGGGCTGAGTGTTCTTACAACATGACAGTTGATGGCCCTTATCTCAGAGTGATCAATCAAGGAGAGCAAGGCAAACATTGCCTGGTGACATAGTTTAAAGGTCAGACATTGCTGGACTGTGGTGGCACACACCTTTAATCCCTGCGTGCAGAAGGCAGAGACAGGCAGATCTCTGGGAGTTCGAGGCCAGCCTGATCTATGGGGGAGTGCCAGGACTACATGGAGAAACCCTGTCTAAAAACAAAGGGGAGGGGGTCAAACATGATCACTTCTCCATTGGACTCAGGGCAAGTGAGCCATTAAGTCCATGCCATATTCTAGGAAAGAGAATATGTCTGGCAATAGTATTAATCAATCTGTGAATCCATTTTAGGCCACATGATTCTAAAGGTCCCTGTCCCTGTTGCTCATCAGAGGGGTCTTCTCTGACCCTGTGGAGTAACAGTCACTTTCCTAACTCTGCTGCTCTATCCTTGTCATAACTGGTAACATTCAATAAGTCACATTTTTCATACTTAAGTGATGATCTCCTCTGACATCTGGATCTAAACTTCATGGTCACAATAGCGCCCCCTGATTGGGTCACTGCATCCCCACCCTGAGAACCAGCTCTGAGGTTTGGAGATAATGAATGCGGGTTGGCCTGGACCAGGCGGGAGGCAGCCTTGATTAGAATCTCCATTCCTCCTTGGCTGGCAGCGACTCCCAGCTCTGCTTCTGAAGATGCGCCGAAAAGCAGCTGGCAGAGATGAATGTGTTGTTCTGCCCTTGCTTCCCTATTGACTGGGCTTGGCTCACTCCCTGGAAACCCTAAGGATCAGGGAACTTATCAGATGTGCTCATTGTGAGTCATAAAGCCAGTGACAGCGTGGTGCAGAAGTGTTCAAGCCTTTGGTCGATGTTTGATTCGAAGTCTGAAGGTAGAATGAGCTAAGACAGACCCTCGACCCTCAAGCTCCTGGCTCCATCCACTTGGTTTGGATCCAGGACTTTAACAGGATCCTCAAAGATCGAGTGATGAGTGTATTTCTTGTCCCTTCCTGTGACTCAAATAGGCGAGGTACATCAGTGACTCCCACATATTGTTTGGCTGGATGAGGGAACCTTAAGCCCTCATGGGAATTGCTGTTTCAAGCAGGTGACCTCACCCCTGCAAGAGACACCAGATTGACTGATTTGCAAGAAAGTAAAATTAAGACAAAAAGGTTGTTTTCCCTAGATCTTTTGGTTGGCATAACTCATCTTTGTCCGCATGTCAAGTCGGTGGTCTAAGACTGGTGGCAGTTTCTGTTTTATTGCTGAGGGACTGGGAACTTGGGATTTGAGTGACTGGCTGCAGCGATTACAGATGCCGATTGGAGAAGGGAAGGCAATATCCAAATTCAAGCATTCAGCCTCCCACCCACCACATATCCAATAAGAACAGTATCAAAGACCACAGTGAGTTCCTGGAACCTAAGAGCATATCCAACACTGTACACACCATGTTTCTTCCTTTACATGGGAGCCTATGAAAAGGTTTTATTTATAAATTAGGTATAGTGTGAGATTAAGAATAATGGCAGAGAAATAATATACTATAAAAGCGATCTTACTCTTAAAATATCGCATTGTGCTTTTACCATCTCCTAAAACAAGAACGCCTAGGCCTTCCCTTTGGCATGTTCAAATGTCCAGCATCACTCTTTTGTACCTTAGGGCCATCACTAAGTAAAGGGGTGACTTGGACACAGTGCCCTCGTGCTATGTCTGGTAATCTGCTAAAGGTGACCAGTAAGTGTTTCACAGTTGGGTAGCATATACAGCATGGATACACTGGGAAAAAGGATGGTTCGTGTCCCAGACAGGAGAGTCAGCAAGGCAGCTCCAGGTTTTATTATACTACTCAGAGAAGTACGAGTTTATGTGTATGATCTGTTTATGGAATTTTTCCATTTGATTACTTTTGGAGCTTGACTGACTATGGGTTTATGAAAAAACAAATTGCAGATAAAAGGGAACCTAGAATGCAGAGAAATAGTGTCTAAAGAGAAAAAAGGGGCAGAGGGGTTAAACTTTTCCTTCCATCTATCCTCGTGAGAGAGGCCATGAGGGCTGGTTTCTAAGACCCTTCCCTGTTCTAGTCAGGACAGGATGCTACAGTAATAAACTCTGAGGTCTGAACAACTTAATCCAGCCCACTTCTCTCTTATAAAACTATTCAAGTTCAGATGTCTCTCCTCCTCCAAATAGCTTCAACTTTCAGAGTATGCAGGCTTCAGCATCACTGAGGGAGAAAGGGAGAAAGATGGAGAAGAAAGATGTGCGGCTCTTGACTGCCTTGAACTGGAAATGGCTCTCCACTCCACTCAGAGAAAAAGACCAGTGATAGTCTCATCATCTCTGCCTAAGCAGGAGTCTATAGTGAAATGACTCCAAAATATCCTAACAATTTTACCTCCTTCTTTCTTCCCCTGCAGGACGGAGCCCCAAAGCAGTCTCTTGGTCCCAGCCCAGGATGGACCTTCAGAAAAGTTGGGCCAACGTCTGGCCACTGAGACCTTTGGTGTCAACAGCTGGGAAAGAGATAAGACCTGCAGGGAGCTGGGTCCTGCCCGAGCACACAGGTGAGATAAAGTACCACCTTTAGAGCCCTCAGCTAGTGAAAACCCAGGTGGCTTTTCTGACCCCTTCTTGTTTTCAAGTTCCTCTCTGAGAGCTTGTCATGTGCCCTCAAATGCTTTCTGTAGAGGGCCAGTGTTTTAGGTTTAGGGACCCAATGGTTGTTGTCACAACGCTTTAGACCCGGGCACTAAATCTAATAAAGCATAGGCGTTCTAAAGACAATGTATTTCTAAGAGCAGGGGACAAGCTAGACTCGGCTTGTGTGAGTTTGACCTCTATCGGTGTGACAGATGCTTAGGAAAACAAGATGGGGAATGTTATTTTTGGCTCCTGGCTTCAGAGATTTTTCTCCATGGTCATTTGGTTCTGCTGTTTCTATGACTGTGTGTGGTGAGGCAGGATGGAGAGAAAGAAAGGGAGGGGAAGGGAGGGGAAAGGGAGGGAGGGAGGGAAGGAGGGAGGGAGGGGACAGGGATGCAACTTTGCTCCTTCTCTAGTTGGGCCTCTTCCTTTTTCTATCTTTGATCCTTCCAAGCTCACCAAATATTGCAATCAGGGCGTGTCTTCCCACCTTGTTTGGTGTTCCATATGTCAATCATCTCTGGAACACCCTCACAGACATGCCCAGCACTGTCCTTTACCTGCCTCACTCAATCCTGCCAAGCTGATTTTATTATTGTAGCTTAACCACCACCTGGCCATGGAAAGACCCTCACATTTAATGAAAGAGTTACTTCTTGGCATAGTGATTATATGAGCCCCAGACTCTCAAATAATTTCAACCCATATTTGTGTCCTATGTTTTAGACCTTTGCTCTCTATCCTTAACTCAGCTATTCAGCCACTGCCACTTTGTCCCTGATAGATGACAGGTACTATGCTAGACATTGATAAGTAGCATTTTACAGAGACTCATAGAGGTGACATGATGACCAAAATATGATAACCAGTAAGTTAAAACAGTGAAGTCTTAAACTCTAGCTGGGGCCAAGAGATAACGATGCTTGCTGACAAGGACCTGGGAGTACAAGCCCAGGTCCTACATGGTAGATGGGACAAATCTGATGACTGGGAATAGATTGTAGATGGTCCTACATGGTAGAAGGAAAGAACCAGCTTCTGCAAGTTGTGTTCTGATCTCAGCATGTGCACCATTATACGTGTGCTTGTATTCTCACGCTCAGATATGCTAATAAGAAAAAACTGTCTAAATGAATACACTCTAGACTTTTTTAACTTAACTAAACTAAGCCTACATTGATAATGGAGGAGGGACCAATGCACTCTCTACCTCTTGGTTTTTAATTTTCTATCTTATATAAATAGCGTCCAGCCCATTATTATCTCATCTGAACATACTCATAACACTATCATGTGTGTGTGTGCATGCATGTGTGAGTATGTGTATGTTCAAGTGTGTATGCATGGGTGTATATGCAGGCATGTGTGTATGCATGTGTGTGTGACTGTATGTATATGAGAATGTGTGTGCTTATCTGTATGTGCATGCACGTATGTGTGAGGGTGAGAAGGTGGGTGCTCGTTTGGGCAGTGCAGGGGTGTGCGGAAATCAAATGTCAGCCTCAGGTGTTATTCCTCAGGCACAGCTCACCTTGTTTCCATGCCAGGATTTCCCAGAAGGACCCAGGGCTCACCAATTAGGCGAGGCTGGCTGGCTAGCAACCCCGCATAGCCATCTGTCTCTATTGTCTTTTGCTTTGATCAGAAGCACACACTAGAAAGCTTGTTTTCATTTGTTTGTTTAATGCAGGCAGCATGCTTTAAGCGCTCCATGCCTCAGTGAAGCAACTGTGAACGGGAATATGGAGCTCTATAGAGGGGAGCATTGATACAGCTCAGGCACTCTGGGGGTTTCTTTGCTCTACTCACCAGGGTGCCTGATAGAAACAGAGGATGGGAGGGTAGGCTTATTTTGGCTCCTGGTTTCAGGAGTATTTCTCGTGATTGTGGTCAGCAAGGTCTAAAGTTTGGGGTGACTACATATGGCCAGGTCAGAGGGCAGAGAGAACCAGTTCATAACCAGATGTAACTTTCAAAGGTCCGTCTCCAATGAGGTAACCTACTTCCATAATCCAGGCTCCGACACCTGAAGCTCACATGGCCTCCCCAAAATGGCAGCACCTAGGAAGCAGGGTTCAAACCTGAGCTGTGGGGAACATTTCAGAGTCAAACTTCAGCGAGCCAGGGGAGAGAATTCTGGGAATGAAAATCTAAAGAAAAGAAATGATTACATGGTGTTATCAACTGAGCCATATAGTGTGCCTGGGCCTGTTGTCCTCTTCTGTCTGTGACTGATTCTCTGAAGCCCCGTGATGATGGTAATTCATAACTATCATATTAGTGATAAGAAGTCGTGCTGATTATGCTCAAGGACGGGGCCATGCTCTGAAGAGTCTGTCCTCAGAAGACATTGTTGTCCAAACGCCTGAGAGGGACTTCCACACACCTAGCATGGCACTGTCTACACCTGAGCTGTGTGTCACATCTACACGCTTACAGTGCATCCGACAGCTCCGAGGACAACGGGGATGAAACGGTACAGGCCCGACCAAGCGCAAGAGCCACCCATCAAATTGATCTATGAAGCAGACGCCGAGGTGGAAAGCTTCTGCCTGAAGCAAGCGTTTCTCTTACACTCCGATGACAGAAATGGCGTGGCCACGTAGCCCAACACTTCGTTAGCACGGCCAAGCGTGAAGATCTGCACGCAGTTGTTTACAGTCTGTCTTACCTGACAGAAACACAGTAGATTGTCCCTCCAGCATCACCACACGTGCGTGAGCAACACCCCATGTTGCGGTCAATAGGAGGTTTTCAGCTCGATTATCGAACTAATGGGACAGCCATGGCATCAGGCAGGATGATGTTGCACGACGTGGGACTATAACATGGCGGGTTAGCTGTGAATGTACCCAATGCCAGGCCAAGGCACGTGGCAGGTACCTGGTTTAATTCTCACCTCTTAGCTGATAATACAAGTAAGAAAAATCTCTGTGATAGGAAGAGATAAGGAGCCATGAGCACCATGTCCTCACCCAGCGCACATCTTACAACCATACACGTAATTGAGTGCTTATCTTCATCCGAGTGTGCTCAGCCTCGGAACACTGATTCTCCACCTCTTGCACAGTGTGGACTGAACCCCTGCACACCCAGCCACTTGAGCTTACAGTCTACCCCGAAGCAGCTGCAGTATTGACCACTGGAAGTGACCATCATACGTGGAACTCCAGTGTATACAAGCACCCTGGACATAGCGCTAACCACTGTGCGCCTCACTACTGTCTGGGATGCACTTCACAGAACCAGGGCAGGGGGAAGGGATGGGGAAATGTGGATGAACGTGTAGGACTTCAGATCTATTGAATTTAAAGGATTTTCGACTTATGTCAGTGTTCTTTGCAGTTTTTTGTTTAACTCTTGGGGGCCTGCCACCCAGCTCCCAAATAAATACACAGAGATGGATTCTTGTTTATGAATGTCCTGCCTTAGCTTGGCTTCTTTTTCTCTAGCTTTTCTGACTTAAATTACCCTGTTTTTCTTTAACTACATTTTGCTTCTGGGTTTTTTTACCTTTCTTTATTCCAGATATCTTTCTTCCTTGCTACTCCATGGCTGGCTGTGTGGCCTCGTGGTCATGTGGCTGTGTCGCTGCGTGGCTGCGTGGCTGTGTGCCTGGCCACTGGTGGCCTCCTCTCCTTCTCCCTTTCTCTCGCCTCCCTCCTCTCCCTAGATTTTCCCTCCTATTTATTCTCTCTGCCTGCCTATCTCTTTCTCCTGCCTAGTTATTGTCCACTTAGCTCTTTATTAGACCAGTCAGATGTTTTAAGCAGGCAAAGTAACACAGCTTCACAGAGTTAAACAAATGCAACATAACAGAATGCACCGCATCTCTGCATCATTAAACAAATGCTCCATGGTATAAACGAATGTAACCCATCTTAAGCTAATAGTCCACAATAGCTCTTAGTCCTAACAATGGACTCTTTCCCCATTTTTGTCACACTTTTCCACCCCACCCCGAGTTTCCCAGCAGATGTGCCCCTGCGAAACAAGATGGCTCAGCACGCAGCCAAGCTTCTTCATCTGTCACTTGGTCATTTGACAAATGCTCACTGGTTTCTTGCTGGGAGTCATGGACTCTTTGGAGAAAGAAAGTTGGAAGTGGCCTACTGTGCCTTTAAGAGCAGCTGGATCATTTTCCCTACTGTCTATTGTGCTTTATAGCATGTAGGTGTGCTTCAGCAGCCAGGGTCTGATTCTTAAACATTCTTCTAATGTTTATTTTTAGCTTTTAACTAAAAGTGACTCTCTTAAAAACACACAGGTGCGTGTGTGTGTGTGTGTGTGTGTGTGTGTGTATTCATTTGTTGGCGGCTCAGAAGACATTTCAATCCCTCATCACCCCTCCTGATAACCCTGACGATCCAGACTCTTCAAACGGAATGAAATAAGATCAAGTTTTATGATATTCTAGTAAGTTTGGCCATCTCCATCTGCTTGGCTATACAAATGACTCTAGAAGGCAGCTGGGGTTCACTTGTGAAACAAAATGACAAGAATCATATTGGTGATCTAGAGAGGGCCTTTCTGAACTGAGTGATTTCCCTTGTAACTACAAAGACTTGAGTTCACTTCCAGGGGCCAGGTTTATGAACAAATCAAGGGATGGTGGCTCACACTGTGATCCCAGCGCTTGGAAGTGGAGTCAGGAGGCTCCTGATTGTCACTGGTCAGCTGGTCTCATCTACTTGGTCAGCTCCAGGCCAGTTAGAGATCATCCCCTGCCCCCCCAAAAGGTGGATGGTACATAGTGAATGAACCCCGAAGTTGTCCTCTGGCTTCCAAACACACTGCCTTCTAAATTTTATGTCAAAATATATAAACCTCTTGATACATGTGTGTGTGTGTATATACCAGTGCTGATTTTCTTACTGCTAAATTAATAAAAACAATACTAGTTGTTCCAGCAAAGGCCTACTGAGCTTGCATGTTTCCATTCTTAAATAGATTTCAATCCATCCCTGTCTCCCTTTGCTAGAGGATAGAGGATAGTGTTCTCTCTCTCTTTTTTCCATCCCTGGAGCCTGCCCCAATCATAAAAGAAGATAACTTGACTTCCTTTAGCAGCAGCCTGAGCGTTTGAATTTAATTGAACGGGAAATAATTATTCCTGAAGAGCGGAGGTTTTGGAGGTTCTGCGAAACGATGCAAGATATGGATCTTGTTACATTAGACCCACGCAAATACACTTTTAATAACCAGCTTCTACTCAACACACCTTCTGTCTCCTGTAAAATCTGCAGCAGGAAGTGTAGACAGGTCGGACCGGGTGGGAGTGGGCTGGACTGCCAACTCATTATTTTTAAAGTGATTTATTTACCGAGGTGAGCCGTTTTCAAATTCAATAATAAATCTATTAAGGGGCAGTTAACCTCTATAAACCGTGTTTTAAATAATCAATTGGCATTTGGGTAACTACAGTGTCTGTCTCATTAGGTGGGCATTAAGTCCTTATTTGAGACGTTTAATCTGAGGTGTGACCGAATCAGCCATGAGGTGCCAATTAGATATTCACCATGGCTCCTTGATTCACAAGGAGCTGGTCCTCTCCCTTTCTCTGGTTGTCACAGCCCTGAGCAAGGAACCAAGGGATCCTCTCATGTATGACTTTCATTTTCCCCACAGTGCCTCTCAAGAAAGAGACCTGACACCACCACCTTCCTCCAGGGGGAAAAAGAAAAAGAAGAAATCGACCAGGAAGAAGAGAAGGAGGTGAGGGTCCTGAACAGAGATGAAACTTCAAAGACTCAGAGACAGGGGAAGGGACAGATGGGGGTATAAAGGTTTATAGAGTCTGGCAGTGACTCCAGCTTGGGTTCAAATTCCTTCTTTGCCTCTTAAGTACCCATGTGACTTTGGGCTTCACCCTTCTATGCTTTTGGTTTCCCCTCTTCTGCAAATGATAATGATAAAATAATACAAACCTCTTGAGATCTTGTGAGCATAGGAAGAGAAATGATCCTGAGTATGGGGGGGGGGGTTCATGCCTGTAATAACAGCACTTGGGAGTCTGAGGCAGGAGGATTGCTGCGAGTTTGAGGCCAACCTGGGTTACATAGAGCATCCTAGGTCAGCCTGAGCTACAAAGTGAGATCCTGTATCACAAAAAAAAGAGGAAGAGGAGAATATGGAGGCAGCTGTCACAGTGTTTAGCAGTTGTGTATGGCCAATTAATAGAGCTGTTATTACTGCATGGTTGTTGAACACGAGAGACTGAAACTTACAGTGTGCAGAGGTTTGTGCCAAACCCCTGGCTACCCACCTTCTTCTCACTCCTGGCCACGCTCTTCCAGGCAAGCATTATGCCCATTTCAGAGATGAGAAGATAAAGGCTCATTGGCTGGGATGTCAGAATCTGCCTTGGACTTGATTCGCAGGATTCCTCTCTAGACCCAGAGTTAACATTTTATATTAACATCAGATCGTGACTCCTTTGAGCTTCTTGAATTTCTTTCTACACACAATTCTTTCAAGATGTTTTTATATTTAAAAATATTTCCAGATTCCCTCATAAAACCTTGTGTCTCAGGGAGACAAGACTCCATAAGAGCCAGGAATCACACCAAACCTCCCAGGCAGTGTTTACAGAAGCCTGCAGGGGGCGGCAGAGAGCAATGACTGGACCACTGGGGCCTGGGGTCCGGGTTCACAGGGCTTTCTCCGCCACAACTACTTAGCCTACCTCTTAAGGAAGGACCCACATGGGACTCCGGGTAGTGTGGGAGAGATTCCCTCCTTTCCGCCATTGAAAGGTAGGGGGTGGACTCGGGATGAATTGAGTTCCTGATTTTAGAGGAGGATTTTAGAAGTGTGCAGAACTTAGAGGAGGGGTTCCCTAATTACTCCTCCAGCAAGGGTCCCCTGAGCGTGAGTCTGGGGACAGCTGCAGTTCCTAAAGTGTTGCGTTGTTCCTCATTCAATTCTCTTTGCTGATATGTTTTGTTGAGCCTGCCAAGTTTTGTTTATTTTTAAGAAAATAAAATTAGTGTATGCTCATTAAAAATTGGGATAGTTCATATGAAAATATGGGTTTCTCGAACCTTCTATGGAAAGCAGCCTTCTATGGAAGGCTGAAGCTGCATTTTCACACTGAACCCCAACTCCCGTCTGAGAGGCTGCTGTATGCTCTTGGGGTCTCCTCAGGGGCCGCTGCTGGCTCTCTCGGCGGGGGAGGGGGGCTCCTCAGTCCTCTCCGCTCCCTGCTGCCTCTCAGTCAGTTCCTCTACCGAATTAGAGAGGCTCCTGCCGGCCCTGAGGGCGCAGCCTCTGTTCCCAGCCCAAGCCTGTTGTCTCACTGAGGAAATAAACCAGGAGATGAGCTGCGATTTTCCCAGAGACCTGGAAGCTGGTGGTGGAGTCAAGTCGGAAATCAGGTCGCTCTAACATCAGGCTGAGTCATCACCTGTCCCTGTTTCCCAGGTGCCCCTTTGGTGGCTGTGACTTCAGGGAGAGAGGCTTACCAAGGAGACAGCAGAGACCAGGGAACATGGGAGGGGCGAAGCTTGCAGGGGAAGCCACAGATGAGACCAAGAAAGCATTTTAGATTTAATTAAGAGTATAGTTATGCTGTTATAATGAACAAACCTGGGAACAGAGAGAACTCATCTCAGATTCCAGACCACCCATGCCTTGGCTGTTCTGTCTTTGAGCAGGTCCCTACACCAGACTGAATCTCACTTTTACACACACACACACCCCTCCAAAAATGTAAGGAAAGCAACAGTATTAACCTAAGAAAGATATAAGGACTGTCCCTGAATACAGTCCCCCAAAGAGCTGAGACCCTGCATAAAGACGGAACGTGTTTCCCTCCTCACAGGTCCCCATCCTACAGCCCATCACCAGTCAAGAAAAAGAAGAAGAAAAGCTCCAAGAAGCATAAGCGAAACAGGTACTGCCCTCCTGTCCTTCCTCCTCCACAAACAGGGATGCCCCAGGTGCAGCAGGGCACAGGTACTGCCCTCCTGTCCTTCCTCCTCCACAAACAGGGATGCCCCAGGTGCAGCAGGGCACAGGTACTGCCCTCCTGTAGTCCTCCTCCATAAACAGGGATGCCCCAGGTGCGGCAGGGGTCAGGGCCCAAGAAGACACTCACTTGGAGGCAGAAAAGAGATCCGTTGACTCGGACTGGAAAGGGGAGCTGATCAGAAGAAAGCAGATGGGTTTGGGAGACCTGCCAGGCCTAGAAGAGGGGCTGGGAACAAGGAATGGGAAGCAGAGAGATCTCAGGCAGTTCCTCCTGCTTCCTGGTCCTTGTGGGGAGGGGCTGTGTCCTGCCTGATCTCTGCCACATCACAGGCCAAGACAGAAGCAGACAATGGTATCTTCATCATGATCCCAAAGTACTAGGAGAAAGCCTCCATGTGGCCTCATCTGTGTCCTAGAGGGCAGAATCACATTGAAGAACATGACGTCCAGGGATCCCCATCCAAGGCAGGGAACAGGGAAAGTCATGGTTTGGACTCTCAGTCCAGGTGTATATTATGCACACACGTTCATGTATATTTGCACACACATACATATATACACAAAGCTGTGTACACACATACATATATACACACACCCAGGGACACACAAACATACACACATGGATACACATCCATGCACATATACACCCATGCATGCATGCACACATACATATATACACACATTCATGCTCACATACCTACAGAGTCCAATGCTCATGTATATTTACAGGGGGCAAAAGATTGGTAACCAGTGTGGCCAATGGGCCAAGCCTACATGTTTTGAGAAATTTTGCAATACAAAATTTTCATGGTGCCATTGTTCTGCAAAGAAATTTCCATCTTCATTGAACTACTTCCCATGGGCCACCGTCAGCCAGCTCAGAGGAGCTTTGTACTTTTGGGACAGTCAGTCCGCTCAACTCTATACACCATCTAAGCCTTGCAGTTGGCTGTGGATCTTAGGGAAAGAACGCCTTATGATCTATTCTTGTTTATCCATATCTCCAGTGCCCCTTATATGGTCTGTGTGCAGTCACCAAAGGTCAGAGGTCATTTGAGCTTTCCTCAGCTTCAAAGTGGCACCAAATAAGAGTTTTCACAGTCCAGGGGTTTGGCCACATCTCACTCTGTATTGCTAGAATGTTCTCAGACTCAGTTTGGTCCAGCTGGCTACATCCACCACCAGTCTAGAGTCTCCGGTTAAGCTGACATGGTAGGTGATTAGCGAGCTGTGGTTAATTTGGATGCGTCAGTCCTTCCTACCGTGGAGCCTGATGCTAAGGCAAGTGCAAGCCCATGGGTGTAGACAAACACTCGTCCTCTGCTGAGCTGGAGGTACCAGTATGGAGGACTTTTTCACACCTTGATATAGAAAGCCAGGCAGCTTCTCACTCAAGGCCTGTAATTCCAGCTACCTATGAGTCTGAGGCAAGAAGATCACAAGTTCAAAGCCAGCCTAGGCAATTTAGTGAGATCCTGGAGTGAGGGAGGCAGGGGAAAATGAGGGCGAATACTCTGGCCGTTCCTCGAGTCTCCTCCTGGGCTCCCCCTTCCTCAGCCCAGCTTCTCCAAGTCGGTGTTCACCACGTGTTTGGTTAAGGACAGCTGAGGGTCTTGGAGGTGGCAGCTAGGGACAGGAGAAGCACTGGGCATTTCCTTCTCTTAATATCGGGTTTGAGACCTTTGGAAAACTCTATTTTCACATCTATTCACACTTAAGATCCTAAGCCCCAGAAATAAAATGATGAGCAAAACCCCGCTACAGCTTTCTCTGTCCACTGGGTGATTACAGTGTGGGGAGTTCTGGGCTCTGCTGAGGAGGAGCTCGGTCGCTCACCCAGGAGGCAGAAGAGCCTGCTGAACCCAGACACTACTGTAAACTGCTGTGGGGAGAAGAGTAGAAGGGGGGCGTAGAGAAGAGGGAGAAGACAGAGGCGACCAGATAATAAGTTTATTGAACCTCGCTGCCCTCCGTAGTGTGGCATAGGGATGGACAGAATGAGGCTGTTTATGCCCCAAGCTTAGCACAGCAGAGGATCTGCCTGTGGTGGAGCAGAAGGAGGAGAGAGCCGGACAGGAGGAGAGGGGGAGGGAGGAGCAGAAGGAGGACAGGGGAGAGCAGCAGGAGGAGAAATCTATAACTAAAGCAAGGACTTGGGGATTACAGCTCACTTTCCCATGCCTCCCGGCCACCTTCATCTGGGAAAAGCTGGCTGACAATTTTCCATTCGCATTGGTGGCTTTGACCTGAAACTCAGTACACAAGGCAGACTGCATTTCCCATTGGACTCCCTGTTCTTCAGAATCTGATGGGGAGAAGGTTTGGTTAGGAGTCCTGAGTTGTACCTGGCAAGAGTCCATCACACTAAGACATTGCCCAGGAAAAAAATTCTCAGACTCACCCGTATTTATTCTCTCTTCTTTCCCTTCCCTCCTTCCTCGCTCCTTTCCTTTCCTTTCCCTACCCACCTTCCCCACTCCTTCCTTCTGTCTTCCCTCCCTCTCTCCTTCCATCGAATCAGGTCTTTTTCCAAGAAGAGGAGACACAGGTAAGACCTTCTGTTTCTGGCTACTTCTTTAGCCTTCTGGTTCAGCAGACTTATTCTGGATAGCTGCCCGGGCTGCCCGGGTGGGCATCCATCACTGTGTTTCCTCTGCCTCCCTGAGCCGCAGTTCCCTCAACAGTGAAAGCCTGTGCTGATGTCCCGGAGCAGTCAGAGCCAGCTTTGGGGCTATGCATTGCTCCTGGACCGAGCTCTGCCCAGAAACTGGAAGTCAAGTCTCTTAGGAGACACGGGTCCTATTACTCCACTGTAACTTTCTTACATCTGGGCAAGGAGTAGAGAACAAGGCGGGAGCAACATGAAGCTACCACCTACAGGGACTCATGCACAGTGGGCCTACACTTAACTCTTTCCTCCACCCACCCCAGCCTTCAGCAGTGGGTGTATTTATGGTTCCCACTTGAGAGACTAAGCCAAGAGAGACCAGGACCACAGCTAAAATTGAAGCCCAATCTGTCAGCTAGGGGATGTATGCAGATGACAGTGGCTTCTTCAGTAACAATAGCCACATCCAGAGCAGTTCACTGACGAGTAGACTGCTGTCGCCAGTGATATCGACTGCCAGCAAGTAGCATCCAGTCTGTCACACAGCTGGCTGTGGCTTCCTCCTTGCATAATTGAGGCAAGTGATCTCAGAGAGAGCAGGCCACTTGTCTGGTGTCACCCACCTGAGCAGCAGAGGTGGCACTCAGACTCGGCGTGGTGGCATTGGATGAAATTATTACCCCAGCCCCTTCCAGGACCTCAGCAGACAGCCATGGGTTCGGGGGAACCTGTGAGGCTAGCTGGCTTGAGACACAGGCTCACTTTTTCAGTCTTCTGGTTGTCTACAAGGGGACCCTGGTTCATCACTGCACTTCTATCCACACCCCAGGGTTTGGGTACTTGGATAATCATGGGCAGAATGACCAAGAGACTATGGTCTGTGCCGGACCCCAGCTCGGCTGTGCGATCTTGCCTTGGTGTCTTAGCCCATCAGAGGCTTCATTTCCACCTCTCTAAAATGGGCTCTGACAAGTGTGGCCCCACCCGTAGGTGATGGGAACAACATAGTGTCCGGTGTGCACTAACGGTTCACACAGAGCAGGAGTGTTTAGCATGGTTCCCAGTATGCACTAACGGTTCACACGGAGCAGGAGTGTTTAGCATGGTTCCCAGTATGCACTAACGGTTCACACGGAGCAGGAGTGTTTAGCATGGTTCCCGGTATGCACTAATGGTTCACACGGAGCAGGAGTGTTTAGCACAGTGCTGGTGGGCACTAACAGTTCACACGGAGCAGGAGTGTTTAGCATGGTTCCCGGTGTGCACTAACAGTTCACACGGAGCAGGAGTGTTTAGCATGGTTCCCGGTGTGCACTAACGGTTCACATGGAGCAGGAGTGTTTAGCACAGTACCCAGTGTTCACTGAGTCCTCGGCATGCAGGTGTGGTTATCATTGCTGTTATTAGCCTTCAGAGCAAACTTGCCCTCCTCAGCACCGTTCTCAGCACAGGGCCATGAGCCAGGATCCCTGGCCTAACTCGCTGCATGGAGACGCTGGCATTCGAGCCAGCTGCTTGTGTTTAATCTTGACCTGCACTGGTGTTTTCTTTGCCTTGTTTGCATCTTTCAATTAACTGGCCGTTTCTCCTTCAGCTCCTGTAGCCCTAAAAGCAAAAGACGGGAAGAGAAGAAGCACAAAAAACAGTGAGTAGAGACAGATACCCCTGGAGCACACTGTGCAGTCTGAGGAAGAGGAGGCCTGGCCTCTCTTCAGCTGGAGTGTTAGCTACCAAATGGCCAGGGACAGGGGAGAAGGGGGCAGTGGCTGAGAGGGAGGAAGGAAAAAAGAGGAAAGGGAGGGCTTTATGTTCACTTGATAGTGAGGGGTGGGGTATGCACGGATACACAAGTTGTATATGTGACATGTGGGTGTGTGCATGTGTGCTTGTGTTGTACACTGTATATGTTTGTGCCTGAAGTGCTCATTATATGTGTAACATGTATGTATATACCACCATACATATATTTGTAAGTAGCTTATGCCAGTGTAGTGTGCACATCACTTACGAACGTCTACATATTCTTATGCCATGCAAACACACAGTGCATGTAACATGGGCACAATGCATGTGTGCATGGGATCTAGCTGTGTTCACATGAATGCCCTTGTGTATGAGCGTGGTGGCACACAGCACTCACACAGGTGCACCATGGACGTGTGTGTATGAGCGCCTTCTGTTCCGACGGTGTGCACACTCTACACGTACACTGTATGCCTGCATTCTGTATGGGGGCATGGCAGTCTTTACCCATGCACATATCTGTGTAGAATGTGCATGGACTGTGGGGTGTGATCACATGTGTGTGGCGGTGAACAAGCGTCTACACGTACACTCTGGCTACTGGTTTGCATGTGCTGGTTTACAGTACAGCGCTCCCGGTGAGTCCCGAGTCTCGGGCCCAGCTGTTTCACAGTTTATAGCTGGTACTAGAAATTCAAATCAGTCCGTACTGCCTGCGGAGTTCAGTTCCCCATCAAATTAAAAGTAAATTTGGTTACAACCCACCTACTTTATACTCTGTAAACGTTAGTGCGATGTGTTTTCCAATCAACTAATATTTTATCTCCCGCCAAGAAGCATCTAAGGAGAGGATCAAAGACAATAGAAAAAAAGGGGGAGCAGCTTCTGAGGAGGGGAAAGAGGAGGCAGGGCACAGAGGGAGGGCGCTCAACATGTCTGCCTCAAAGGGTCCTTACTCAAGGTCAGCACAGAGGAGGACATTTTAGTCAGTGCCATAAAGACATGGACCACGCTCCAGAAGGAAGGAGAGACTCCAGTAAGATCAGGGAGGAACTTCCCTATTGGCCACTTTGTTTAAATGAAGCCATCAAAAGAAAAATTATGAATGACATGACTCCATGATCCCTGAAGTTGGTCCTATTGCCATTCCAGTGTGAGGGTGAAGAAACAGAGGCTCTGAACTAGTGATGTGAATGCATTGGAAGCAGGGAGCTTAGCTCCGGCATCTTCGCTCTCAGCACGCACCTTGGGCCTGTCCGCCTCAAGAGCGCTGAGGTAGTCACCCTCTCCAGTGTGAAAAGACAGACAAGCCCCAACAGTTGCTAGCAGCTCATCATCAGAAAGCTAGACAAACCACATGAGGCAGGACAGAGAGCGAGAATCCCAGGGGCTTCCAGGAAGCAATGGGTTGTTCTAACCAAGCTGACCACGAGTTGGCTTCCTTTTGTTCAATGCACCTGCACGAGGCCCTGGCCCGTGGCAGTGGGCATGGGGGAAGGCATGGGTGAGAAGTGGAGACAAAAGCTTGGGACACAGTGAGGACACCAGCAGGGGACAGAGGATAGGGTTTGATAGTGAGGCTGGCTTTCTGCAGGAGGGCATCTTAGGCTGCCGGTGTCGGTTTCCTCACCGTGCCTTGGGACTAGAGAGAGGACTCACCTTCAGTTGTGGCAAAGGACGCAGGACCCCTGGAGGACAATGCCTAGAAGGCTGCAGTGCCTGGGCCTGAAGAACGGGTTAGATACAAGTGACACCGTGGACATTGCCATCTGAGCCAGAACGCAAGCCGAGTTACACATTTGCTGTGGCTTGAGTCGGGCTGGTCAGTGCAGGAGACATTGGACAGCTAGGCCAGATGAAGAACCAGGCAGGGCCAGCCCCTGAAGGAGCTTGGGGTTCAAGACCAGAGTCTGGACAGAGCACAAAGGCAGTGAGCAGGTGTCAATCAGGGAATGGAGATGGCCTGACAGTTGTACCAGAAGAATCTGATTCCTTCGCTGAGATACACGGATTCGTGGGCCACCACATTCCTCACTGCCTTCGTTTTGTGTTTTGGTTGTATTTAGAGAGGGTCGTGCTATGTCACCCAGGCCAAGGCAGCCTAGTTCAAGGTAGCCTCAAACTCATGGTGATCCTCCTGCCTCAGTTTCAAAAGCACTGGGATTCAAGCATGAGCTACCACACTTGATTGTCTCTGATCATCCTCAGTGGGATGTTGGGATCCATCCTCAGGAATGGCTGGAGTGAGCCAGGGTGATGTTGCCAGGGTGATGTTGCTATTCATAGTTCTCAGGCTTTGGGCTCCACGCTAAGGATCTGGACTTCATGTCCCAGGTCCAAGGTCACAAACTGGCACCTGAAAGACCCATTAGACTCTGAAAATAGTGACGTGCACACAGAAGGTTACCTTTTTCATTTAAAGGAGTGTCTCTTTAAGGCAGGGATATTAGCATACATTAAAGAGTCTATATTTGTTTCTCCATGTGCTTGACCCATCGGAGGTCCAGTGGGGGAGGGGAGGCTGGAGGCACAGCAGACCCTCTCACTTCCACTCAGGCTGTAGATCAATATTTTGCAAGATCCCAACTGGCCTTAGAAATGGAACAGAATGCAGATTCCTGACCTTGAGAGAGACCGGGGAGGCTTGGGGACGGTTTCCTGCCTGGTGTGTGGCTTTTGCCAGGACTGCTTCTAGCATGAGGCTAAGTCTCAAGTTAATTGTCAGCCACATTCCCCACAAAGGTCCCTTCTGCTTCCATGAGCTCAGCCTAGTTAGGCGGAGAGTCCCAAAAATGCCAGGAGGAAGCTGGGCTGTGAGGTAGGGGGATGAGTTCCTTTGGGAGTGACCTAGACTACTCTTGGATATAAATTTCAGGATTTATATATCACAAAATCAAAATCAATGCTGCACTCTTTCCTTCTTTCTCCCACTCTCCCTCTCTCTCTCTCTCCCTCTCTACCCCCCCCCCCCCAATCTCTCCCTACGTGAAGATCTCGAAGCCGGAAGTCTCACCACCATAGACACCACCATTGCCCCTCAAGGTCTCAGAGCTCGGAACTGCGCTCTTCCAGCTGCGAGAGCAGGTAACGCCTTTGCCCCTGTTCCTTGCCCACCCAGCCCTGAAGATGCTTGACCCAGGTTCTGTTCCACACTAGGTGACTCTCTTGCTCTCCAGGTCAGAGCTGCCCCTGCTTGCTGCCACCAGCTGCAGGCAGAAGGACACAATAGTAGTCCCCGTGGAACACAAGCTTGCTAAGTGTCTTTGGTGATGCTGGTTTACATGACCCTCTCTACAGTCCCTTGAGGTCAATCCTGTTGTCCCATTGTGCAGATGAGGAAACTGAGATACTGGGGCTTTAAGGAAGATGACACTTAGCAACCAAGTGACACAACCAGTGTTAAAGCCAGGGAGTTTGGCTCTAGACTTTGCATTCTCAGAACAGAGAAGCTGAGCCACCTGTGAAGACACATAACACAGAACACCAAGTTCTGAGGTCCTTCTGAGTCGGTTTCCTCCTGACTCTGATGTCTCTTTGCTGCCGCGTCCCCTGTCCTGGTCTGAGAACAATGGGAGCTGAGTGCTCTTGTGGAGATAAAGAAGGCTTTGTGAGTGAGAACATTTGGAGTTGTTCATACGGGCAAGAAGGCCAACGCTGGCTCCTCGTGTCAGGGGCTTCTCTTTGTTTCAAGTACTCATTCACGAAAGTGGGGCATGGGAACGTGGCAGGATTTTACCTTCTTTCAGTGGAAATGAGATGGCTGGGGAAGAAAGAGAAGGAAGTAGAAGGGAAAGAGGATAAATAAGAGGAGGAAATAAAATGGAAGAAGAGGAAGAAGAGAATAGGAAGGGAGGAGGAGAAATGTTTATCTTTGTGCCAGGCTCTGGGCTGATTTCAAGTCCTTCCTCTCTGTGACTATGAGACTCTGAGCATTGATATGATTTTCTATGTTGTCTGCACTCGGTGGTCACCTCAGAACTGTTTTGTAAAAATAATTCCAAGTGTCTGAGTTACACCCTCTAGTCACCCCAGCGAGGCAGAGAAACTACAAAACCTCCCAGGAAATATAAACACAGAGCAGGTGTGAGGAACCCTACAACTGAGGCCCTGATGTGTCCCCTCCTGAGCCACTGTGTTCCTGCTGGAGTCCAGCCACAAATCGGAACCCCCAAATAACGCCACACTGCACTCTGATTGACCAAGACACAAACAAGACCCATCACTGTGCAGGGCAGAGCCCAAATGGAATAAGAACTTGTCCTCAGCACACAAGCATCCAGGCGCATCCACTCCAGCTAGCCTGAGTGGAGCCTGCTTCTTCCATGACCACAGGCTTAGCCTCAATCTGGTTGTTCTCACTGTAGGCTATCTCAGTGCCTCACCCTGCTTTCTGACAATATCCAGCCCAGAGCAATGCCTCTGTCACTATGTGATACAACTCCCAAAATTGCTCCCAATGCTGTCTGACAAGTCTATGTCTTCAGGATTCAGGGAGGAGTGTAAGGGATTTCCAGGTGATTGCAAATTCATATGGTGTTGATTATTGTGTTTCTAATTGTAACTCGGTACATGTGGATATTCGAAGGGTCAGATGTGCCTCTTGTTTCTACAGCAGGACCAGACAAATCTTGCTTACACAAGGTGTCTCTGTCATTTTTATCACAAATGGTAAAGTGACCTACACAAAGACACATGGGTATTCATGGAACATAGGCATGCTCAAACATACAGAATCACAAGCACATGAGGGACATTAAGCCAGATCAAATAAGAGACCTCTTTCGTCTTCATGGCCACACCCATAAATATTTGTTAACTAAGCAAATGGAAGAATGACTAAATAGATAGGAGGGGCAAAGATGGATGGGAGGATGGTTGGTAAATGGATGGGTAGATGGATAAATAGATAAATGACGGATGATGGATAGATGGATGGTGGGTATACAGACAAGTCATTGGATGGGTGGATGGAGGGATGGATAATGGATAAGCAAGGGTGAATGGTGGATAAGAGGGTAGAGGAGTGGACAAATGATTTATTGAGTAGAGAGAGGAATGGAGGATGGATGGATGATGGATATGGATGAACTGATGGACAGATGATGGGTCAATGGCCTGGTGGATGAGTGTTGGGTCAGTAGCTGTGTGGGTGGGCATATGGGTGAATGGGTGGGTGAGTGAATGAGTAATGGGGGTAGATGGATGTATATACACACAATCCAGCATTCTTACGTACACAGATATACTCAGGTACAAAATCATGCAAACACACACAATCATACTCTGTTGTTCTCAGATGACATGCTGCTTGCCCAGCCGTCTTTCCACCATGCTCTCTTACAAAGGCATTCAGATATCTCTTTCTTGCTCTCCAGGTACCGAGGTCGTTCTCCCGAGGAAGGGCGGAAATCCCGCCGAACACACTCCCGCCGCTGCTCCAAGAACCACTACAAGGTCAGCCCAGAGGCCCGATCCAGCCACCTGCCCAGCCAGCCCCTCCAGAGGCTCGGCTTCCTGTCAGCCAGGGGTGTAGTAAGTATTCCGCACATCCCCTCTGTCAGCCTTGCCATGACTCTTGGGGGAGGTGGAGGTCCAAGTTCAGGGCAGTGTACGCTACCTTTAATTCAATTTTGGGTAAAATTTCCCCACTGGCTCCAGATCTCATTATTGATTAACCAAATGGTCATGCACCAGCTTTTGACAGCTCTCTGCTTTGGAACCTGGGAAACAGAGGAATAAAAACTGAAACACCTAGGCTCGTATTTCAGGGAGTAGGGGCTGTTGAAACACTGGTAACTGGCCTCCGGATAACATGTGTGAGAAGTTTCTTGGGGGAGGGCAGAAGAAAGGGGTCTTTGACATGGGAAAGGCACTTTGGCTTTCATAGTAAGTCTGCATCTCTTATGTCAGCTGGTTGACAACACTGATTGACAGCAGGGATCTGATTCCTCCCATTGATTTGAGCTTGACCTGTGTCTTCTTGTGTGTTTGCACACAAAGTCTCAGGTGTTAAGGGCTTAGTTACTGTCTCTCATCCCTCCCACAAATGGGGCAGAAATATCAAAATTCAGAGAGGTTAGGATCTGGGACCAAGTCATAGAGTGAGATAATGGTGAATCCAATTTAGTGAGCCAGTAATGAATAAAAGCAGAAAAACCCTCTTTTGGGTCAACAAGAAGTAATTGGTGTGTGACCTTGAACACTTTGGTGTAGAATGGAACTGAATTTCAGACCTAGCCTCACGTCTTCCTAGATGACTTTACCACCTCAGTGTTTTTACTGGGCAAACTCGAGGTACTGACTCCATTGGAGGTGATTGGGACTATTCAGTAAGAGGAAGTGTGTGAAGGCCTTTGGTGGACTCTGAGGGGACAGAGAGATAAACAGGATGAAAGTCAGTTTTGAAATGTCACAGATTGCAGCCAGCAACTCTGAAGGGAGTCTCTCTTCCAGATACAGGAAAACTTGAACATGCAAGGAGGTATTCCTCTTCAGAAGGGTGAAGTGGAAACAAGGAAGAGTTCAGGGGTCCTGTGAGAAGATCAGTGGGGGCATCACTGTGGCCTGATTGGCATGATCTGTGTTTCCAGTATGTTCTGGAAAGCTGTTCTCCACATCAAAGTATCTTGTGTCACCAGGGTCTAGTTTTATTCAATATCATGCATGTCTGACTGTGTTCTTCCTAAGTACCTCCTTCTCAATATGTCTGTGAGAACATGCTGGTGTCAAGCCCCTGTCTGCACTCTCTCATTCCCTAAATTCCCTAAATTTCCTGTACTAAAAGACTACAGAGGCCAGGGTTTGAGTCTTGACTCACCCACCCACTTCTGATTATTTCATTTGTAGAAAAAGTATAAGTGAATTTGAATGATGAGCAGTAAAGGCAAAAGAAATATTCCTGAGTTAGTTATGATTGCCCCATCTCCCATGTGTTAGTGCCTATCCTAACCTACCTAGAAACCTCCAACTGACCTTAGCCAAAATGCACCAATGACAATGCCTGACTTATACTCTCTCAACTGTCTGGAATGGTTTCCAAAAAAGTTCACATGTGTGAAGATGCTGCTGAGAACTATACCTGTCTTCCCTCACTTACCAGTAATGTCACCAGACTGACTCTTGACAGTTTCTTTCCCATAATACAGGCTCCTGGTGATAATGAGATATAATGCTTCATCTCCCCCAGGGGCCTCCTTCTCAGGAGCGTCCATATTCTCCAGGAGCCCAACACCTGTTAGAAGAAACAAAAACCAGGCCTTATCTTTATATTCAAGGAAGAGGCCTTAAGAGCTCACCTCTCTCCCACTACCTTGGTTATTAAGAACTAAAGTAGAGAGATACATAAGAGAGTAATGATGACTTTGGCAAAGTGGGGTTATTAAAAAACAGGGAAAGCCAGGCGGCGGTGGCACACGCCTTTAATCCCAGCACTCGGGAGGCAGAGGCAGGCGGATCTATGTGAGTTGGAGGCCAGCCTGGTCTACGAGAGCTAGTTCCAGGACAGGAACCAAAAAGTTACAGAGAAACCCTGTCTCTAAAATTAAAAACAAAAACAAAAACAAAAACAAAAAAACAGGGAATTATGATTGTGCAACCAAATTCTTTATAAGCTCAAAGTTCTTCAGCAGTAAAAAGAATGATAGATATATAAACAGAGAATAATACATATATACATACATAAATATAATACACATATGCTTGCATACATACAGTCTCTTCTTCAAAAGATAATCATAGAGCCCAATACTTGGTCCAGGGACAAAACTCTGATAATATTCTAGATTCCTTCTTTGGAACTTTGGAATCATCACATCACCTCTCTGAGTCTCTATTTTCTCAAATTTTGAAAAGCAAAGCAACTTGTGAGACCTAGTTCATAAGACTGTCATGGGGTCACCATGACTAGCTGTGAATAAACATTTTAGAATGCAATTGGTGAGTGGAAAACTCTATATGATGCCTCTTACTGGTGCTGGCAACAGAGGTACTACAGCAGAGGAGGTAGAGGCCATAGCAGAGGTCACAGTGATAACTAGAGCATAGTTCCCAGATTGGGTAAGCCAATGGATAAACAGGGACAAGAGTCAGGGTCCTGCTTTCTGGAGAATTTTCTTTTCATCATAAATAGTGGCTACATCCAATATGGCTACTCTCACCTGGTTGAGATTTTTATGTCTCCTGGGAGTATCAATACACTCCAAAATCTGATTCCATGTTTCCTCCATTCTTGACCCTTTTCCTTCTCTATTACAAAGGTAGAAATAAGAGGAGATTCCAGGTGTACCATAGGTTTCTGAAGAGTTCCAGATCCCCATTTTTTCTCCATTAGATAGAACAGCAGAGGTATTCACACGGAATCACACATCAGTCATTCATTCCCTCAAGCCTATCCGCATTACTGAGCATCTATTAGAGGGTTAGGCTTGAATTTGGCTCTGGAGATCTGATAAAAAGAGAAAAAAGTCTGTGCCTCCTAAGGGGGAAGACAGATGAGGTGACAACAGGAAAAGGTCAAGTATGACAATGGATGCCAAGATGAGGCAGACAGAAGTTTGGCTGATAGAAAAGGGCATTAGGATTAGGGTAGGGAGAGAATGAAATGAAGACCCAGAAAACTAAATTTGAGCAGGATTTAGGCAATAAAAAGGAAAACTGAAGATTGGAGTTGGGTTTGAGATGGAATTCTAGGACAAGACACAGATGTTAGAGGCAAATTGGAGACCTAAGCATCGGGGACTTCCTGTGCCTCGGGTACCAATGTTCCATCCACACAGCTCATTTGAAAACGGTCAAGTGCTTGTGCATGACATCACAAGAGGTGCTTTGCATATATGACTACGCAAATGAAGGCCTTTGGATCCTCATTGGTTAAAGGTGACCAGAGGCTCTCTTGCTTTGGTCACTGAGAGTCTGGAGGAAGCAGCAGTCAGTGTGATTAGTGCAGGATCATGGGTGTGGGCATCAGTCCTTCTTAGACTTGTTGAAATAGTCAAATGATTACACAAAAATTGGTAAAAAGGTTATTTTACCACTTCATTCCATCCCCAATCTGCCAATTATACCTTCCCTCCCCTGGCACCTTCAGGACCACTGCAACATAATAGCTAGTCGCTTTTAGTGCCAAGTGCTAAGGGTATACTTGACACTCAAGCAGTTGGTGGCTGTCTAGAATACTCTCCACAGTAATGGTGGGAGCAAGCACAATGTGTCCTGAAGACATCAGACACTTCTGTCTTGATGTCTGAGCAGGCTTTATGATAAGAGGATATTTGGGCTGGGCACTGAAGGTTGGTAGGAGTCTATCAATTTGAAATGACTCATGTATAGAAGGAAATGTGATATCACTCTGTGGGAGACATCACCATGTATGTCGCATAGTTATTTTACCCTAGTAAAATAGAGGTTTGTATCCTTATCATCCATATTTTACTGATGGAGAAAGTGAGGCTCTGGGAGGCATGAGGACCTAGGAAGGTAACACAATTTGGAAGGAAGAGAGCTGGAAGGGACCACAGATTGCTCTGATGTCAGCAGAGGTTGGACAGGGGAACAGGGATGCTGTTGGCCCCAAGAGCTTGGTGGCAGCTTTCTTTTTCTGTTCTGTGAGCATTCTGCATTGGTCCTCTCATATCTAACTACAGAAAGGGTCTTTAAAAACCAAGGAGCAGGGTAGGCCACCTCCTCCCGCCTCCTTGTGCTGTAACCAGGGCCAAGGGCAGTCAGTTATAGATCACTTGTGCCAAGCGCTGTGCAGATGCCAGCAGACAAGAAGAGAACATGGAGTCCGTCAAAGATGGTTCCACAGAATTTGTAAACCGAAGAAGGCAAAAGAGTATCTGTGATCGAAATGTGGGCTTGGTAGAAGATCTCACCTCGCTCTGGCATTTGGATGGCATTGGTCACTAATGTTCTCTAAGCACCTACAATGTGCCAGGTCACTGCCTCAAGTTCTTATTTTATCACTTCAAGAGACTCAACACATCCACTCGGGAATGAGAACACTGTGGCCTAGAAAGGTCTGACAGAGGTAGCTACTTATAGAAGCTCAGATTTGAAGCCAGAGAGTCTGATCAGGAGACCCATGTGTTTAGTTACATGTAAATATCATCTTCTGTACCTTGGGGTAATTACCTTAACCTATTTATATGGTCAGTATGATGGTGGCGGGAGACTAGGCCTCTATCCACTTATTTAAATATACACTCAGAGCCAGAGAGGCAGCTCAGTCAGCTACCTACCCCAAACCTAAGTTTGGATCCCTAGCACCCACATAAAAACCAAGCATGATGGTGTGTGTACCTGTGACCCCAGAATGGGGGGCAGGTAGAGAGACAAGAGGATCCCCGAGGCTTGCTTGCCAGACAGTCTACGTGAACGGGTGGCCTCCAGGTTCATTGGGAGACCCCTTGTCAGTAAATAAATAAAAATAAGGCTGGGGTTGATAATTGAGGAAGATACCTGAAATATGATACCAACTTCCGGTCTCCACCATCACACCCACACACATGAGCACGAACAGATATACACATATA